TTTCTTTCCCTCTGCCATCAGACTCCTAAACAGCTGAGGAGTTTATTACCAGGAAATACATCATGTACTGTCGACCTGTACTATTTACATTCTCAGTTTGCATATGCATAATTGCACATTGACTGTTGACTGCTGCACATGCTGCTCCCATGCAGCATACATTCTGTTATATTCTTGTATGTTTTTTTTTTTTACTATATTGCTGCATCTGCGCTGCTTAAAGTGCCTGTGTTACTTATTTATCTACTTTATATTTCATTTGTATTTTGTGGCATTCATGTGGATGGCAAAGTAAGAATTTCATTGTACAGGGAAACACGTTTCCTAACTGTGCATATGACAAATAAACACTTTGACTTGAACTTGAAGATGGGCATTTCCCATCTAACATTTTTACATCAAGGTTTTGATCAATAGCAGTGAGTCAGCCAGCTGCTCAGATTTCCGCCTTTCATGGCTTCATAACAGAACATGAAAATAGGAACTGTTGAACAAAGCAAAGAAGAGATGAGAAGGAACCAAAGAAGGAACTGGAAGATTAAAGAGGAATTCAGGGAACTTGAATCCAAACCAGGGAACCACAGAACTAACGATAATGGAGGAAGGATAAAAACAAAGAAAGAACTGTCATAAACTAACTGTTGAATCAACAAAAGAAATGAAAATAAATAAATGAACCAAGGAACCAAAGAGGACCTACCTCAGGAGGTGGTGGAGACCGTGGAGCTGATGAGGAGGAGAAGGAACCAAAAAGATTTGGTAGCACTTTGTGGGCTTTGTGGTTCTGTCACTCCTACTGTCAGAACTCAGAGGCAGTGCCCAAAAGGGATTTCTAAGCTCTGTTGTCATATGTATGCTGTGAAAAGCCCAGTGAGCAGTACAGCAGCACCAGCAGGCTGAGCTGGATGACACACTGTAGCACAGTACACCTGTGTTATCTGTAGCCGATATCGATCCAGCATCAGCTTGACTTGTGTTTTTTTTCCCAGGTCTCTGTGGGCCTGCTTCACGGTCGGGCATCCCACATCATCTGGCCACCAAATCGCTGGCAGCGAATCAGAGCGTCCCTACCCGCCAACCGAGGACCACTGGACGCCGAGGAAGACGAGGGATGAGGACACAATACACACACACTGTTGTAACTGTACTGTTGTAAATGTGTGTAGGATGCAGTGTTTGGTCATTGTTCCTGATCCCAAGTCAGATTTTTCCAGTGCTGTCATGTGACCTGCAAACTGGTTGGTGCTTTGTTGTTTTGCCGCCCAGTTGTTAATGACAAGGACTCAAACCTTGACGCCTGCAGGTCACAGCCACACAGAGGGCTGAAGTCCTGACCTCCAGACGAGCAGTCATCCAACACAAGTATTTTGATAATCGATTACCTACTTAAAAGTCAAATATTCTCTGGTTCTGATGATTTTCTGCTTTTCTCTGTTTCTTATTACTGGAAACTGAATATATTTTTTTTGTGGACTTTTGTTGGTTGGATTAAACAAGAGACTTGAGAACATTGCACCTGGTGATGTTATTAATATCTGGCATTTTTTGAGCCAAACGGTCTGTGCGTAGTAGGCAGGTGAACTCATAATAAAATCACCCTTTGTTGCAGCACTATGCTGACTTCTGGCTCTTTCTCTGCAGATTAGTTTCATTATTCTCTAGGAAGTAATCAGTGTGTTCATGGGGTTTAATGTCCAACATTCTAAGATCAGTGAGAACCTTGATATTAGAGTCACTGGTTAATGTGATGGCATTGAAAAGCACACCACAGCTTCACTGAAGTCTTTCCAGCACTGACTGCGTTAGCTATACTGCTTGTTCCTACTTCAGGACATCCACCCCCACTCTGCTGATGCCATCTTTCCAGTGTTTTAGCTCTTTTTTTATTTCCTGCTACTGGACAGACATCAGCTGATGTTGGCCACCAATGCCTTCAGCAGACCGTGGTTACATGTTTCTAAGAAAACACTGAAAAAGCTTCATAGGTAGGGTCTGACACAGTGAAATGTATTCCCCTTTAAAGAGGTAGCAGAACCTTGCTGTCAGTGCAGCCTCCATGTTTGTGACCTCTCAGGGTCACTTGAGGACAAAGCAATTTTTGTTTATATAGGAGCTTTCTAAACATATGTGACAAACCGCTTCAGAGGTCCAATCAATGACAATAAAAAGCAGTCAAGGTAAAATAGATGTGGGGGCGAGGGGGGCATGAAGAGTAAAACACAACAATACAGTAATATAACGGAACCCAAATATAGTGTCAAACACCTTGGAAAGCAGAGGGGTTTTTAATAGTGTGCAGAAAGGGGCCAGGTTCGGAGTAGATCTAATGATATAGGGGAGACTGATCCATAATCTGGGGCTACCGCTGCAGAAGCCTTAGATTTCAGCCTACTTCTCAGAAGCTTTAAGTGCAGCTGATACAAATATCTTAGGGATCTTCCTGAGTTATGAGGATGAAGACTCTCAGAGAAGTATGATAACGGAGCGAGTGCATGAACGGCTTTAAAAAGCAACAGCAATAATTCAAAATCAGCCCTTTGCCAAACAGGGAGCCAATGAAATGAGGCTAGAATTGGAGTCGCGTTCTTATTTACGAGTTCTGTAAGAAGGCGAGCTGCAGCATTGTGAGCCATCTGAAGTCTGGATAATAATACCTGAGGGATACTGCAGTGGCCAATATCTGATGTGAAGTAAATGAATTCAGGCAAATCATTCCAGTTCCATTGATCATTTATTATTACAAAAATTCAAAGCAGGGGATAGAACCACTGTCTCCTATCCACTGTCTCTGCAGAGAAATAAATAAGAGAAAATTGCCAAAGTCAGTCATTTAGTCAAATTGTCAGTCAAAAGTGCTAGCTCCCTATCTTTGCCTGCTTGTTCATCCGTGCTTTTGTCCCTCTATACCATAACGCACTACTTTTTTTTAACTAAGACACACAAGAGCAGCAACCGCTCGCCCCCCGTACCCTCCCATCCTGCCTCCTTTCCTGTTTTTGTCCCCTTGATCACGTCAATTCTCGAACTTAGCTTCTCTTTTACGGGAACACTCTGCGATGTTCTTAATAACAGGAAGGGCTGACTGACCGATTCTCTTAGAGTTCACTAAGACACACATTTTATGTAACAAAAGTCATACAAGCACTTTTTTTTAACTCATACTGAGGAATGTTTGTTGTTGGGTTTTCCCTATGTAACAGTGACGTGCGGTCAGGGGAGGCAGGTGAGGCAGAGCCTCCCCTGTCAATCTTGAAAAGAAAAAAAAGTTAACCATAAAATATAATAAATGTTAATATTTGTCGGCTGGT